AGCTGCAAACATAAATAAGAAAGATGGAATTGTGTTGTGATTGTCAATAATTAACAGTTGTCTACAATCACCAGAATTGCCTTGTCATTTGAAATCGTTTTCAGATAAAAGTAATACCACGGGCCTTTCGGATAACCAACTCACAAGTTAAACACAACGTAATTGCATTATAGCAGACAGTTCGTCACGTGGTCGGTTACAACATAGCAGGAACTATAGATTAAATAGCAGAATAGACTGGGCTTTCGAGGCGTGGGAAGCAACCAGACGAAAAGAAGGAAAACTGAATTACAAACTGTTGTGAAGGACACTGGAAACTATTCTACTATATTGCAATCAACAGATAGTAAGAAAAATGCAATCTGCGGTAAGCCATGATTGCCTAGACTCTGAAGTGACGTGGTAATATTTTAAACGAATAGTAATATTAAAACCAGAAACGATACATCTTACATAATGATGATAGATTCTTATCTTTGAATTTCAGGAAATGCGAAAAGAATTAAATGGCCAAAACGTAATGGTAACACCAACAAGGAATGAAGCTAATATGTTTTACTTTAATTACTAGAAGTCACGCATTGGTCGAGCAATTATTTTGTATCCGTCTAAACCGTAACTCTTTTTTGGGGGGTGGCACCGTACGAATTAATTAGTTGCATGCAATGAAAGCCGAGAGGGTAATTAAAAAGATGGTGGCGGTCAGAGAACGTGTGAGGAAAGACGGGAGGTGGGACGAGCACAGACAAAATTGTCATTAATTATTTTGAACCAATTCATTAAACAGTTTTAATTAAGCGGATAGGTGTGCATTTATGGAAGATACGTTCTGAACGGAAAGGCAGTCACGAAGTGGGTGACCTTTACTGCTGAGTACGAATTAATTTCGTTACAGTCGTTTTCTTATTCGAGTGTTCGTTTTTTTCTTACACTTCATTCCTTTTAACTACAGTTGTAAAATACATTTGATGAACATCAGAAACAACTGCGTCAATATTAATTAAAAAGTAAATAACATTCAACAGTTATCATACGCAAGCACGCAATGCACACGTATACACAGACACACACACACATATATATATATATATATATATATATATATATATATATATATATATACATATATATATATATATATATATATATATACATATATATACATAGTTGTATATTTAGGCAGCAATCCTTCGTTTATGCATGTTTCATTAAAAACGACAGACACGGTACTACGGTTAAGCTTTTTATTTAATTTTTCTTGTGTTTGAACAAGAGCTTTCTTTTCTGGACAAAGAGTATGTAAAAACTGTCCAAATGTTTTATATTTCCGAGCGTTTTCGGCTATACCTTTAGCCGTTATCAAGGATGATTCGATTTTTCAGCTTAATTGAGTATGTGCATTATGTGTATGTCTTAAGGTGTAGTAGGGATGTTTTTAATTTCCGAATACGGTTAGAACACTGTGGCCTTGTTCGTAGTTAATCTTGTTAAGAGTTGTTGTTTTTTTATCATTAATAATAAAAAAAGAAAAAACAACTTATCCCTTATTTCCTGTTTAGGATTGGGTTTCCGGTTCCTACTAAAGTATTTTCCTTCTCTTTCATTTCCAGTAGCGCCTTGCGTCTAAGTGGCGTTATCACCTTTCCTTTGAGTCAATCGATTAAAAAAAAACTATATATAGTCTAACCAACTTCATTTAATTTATTTTATCAATTTTATTATTAATTATCCCATGTTGTGATCATAGAGGATCTGCCCAGAAAAGGGAAATGCTGCAAGAAAATGGACTCAAATTTACTACGATTCGGTGGGCTGATTCAAAATCCAACACCACCAAACGGCTCTAATATAGATACAGATAAAACAAACATGTGGACAGACACAGGTAATCTAATTTAATCTGATTTATGGTCCCCACTTATACTCGGAGAACCCAAGTCATTTTCCTCACGTATAGTATTATCTTTCTTTCATTCTAACCCGAGGAAAGCAAAGAGACGCTCTCAGCGAAGCGAGACGTTAATAATTTTTCCACTTTGTCTCCTTATCTTCACTTTTGTTTAGGATACTATTTTACATCCTACATACACACAGACACACACACACACACACACACACACATATGTATATATATATATATATATATATATATTAATGTGATAAAATAAAGAACAAATAGGAAACGTATATCAATCTAATATGTTTCACTTTTATTAAATCTTCGTCAGATATTGAGGGAAAACAGGCAGAAAGAAACACTGGTATTTTCAATTTTGTTTGTGTCAGTTCTTATTAGTCAGACACGTGTCACATGCATTAAAATCGTAAATAATTCTATGTGTATGTAAGTTTGTGAAGTTTCTTTTAAGTCAAAGTGGGCATCGAATGGTAATGTGTATTCGTAATTGTGAATGTGTCTCTGCCTAGTTGGAGTTTTGATGTTTTCACCTTTGTGTTGTCAGCCAGAGCAGTGGGGTGTCACCTGATTCTAATTTATGGTTGACGTCTTTAAGCATGTATTTTTTGTATTAGATAGATATAATTTAGATTCTTTAAGGATGGATTCAAAGAAAGATGGCGATGCAATGCAATGTTTTACGCATGTGATTATAGTTGGTAATAATGTTATTATTAACTTTTCAACGTATAATTTTAATGCTTGTGAAATGTAAATGACGATTGCGAATCAACCCAAACAAAATTGAAAATACAAGCATTTCTGTCTCTTTGACGGTTTTCTCTCAATCTCTGAGAAGCTTTAATAAAAGTGAAACATGTTAGATTGATATAAGTTTCCTATTTGTTCTTTATTTTATCACCCTGTCAGAGTCCAATCCATATTTGATCCATAACTCATATATATATATATATATATATATATATATATATATATATATATATATATATACAAGTATATGATTGGTGTATACAGAATAAATTCCAATAACCAAGAATTACTATTCTTAAAAGAGTGCTCAATACAGAGTAGAGCTAATATAATTATTCATTTAAAAATTATAACATAAATATGTTATAAAATCACTACATATAAAGGTTTTAAAAGGTTCAAATTAATTAACCATCCCTCGTAAGGGGAAACGCTGTTACATAAGCTGGAATGACCAATCAAAATACAAGTATACGAAAATTCAAAAAACTTGACAACGAAGTAGTGATTTCTGTTGTGGTAGGATCCACCTAATTTGCATATGGTTGGTACCAGGAAGACGAGGAGAGGAATCAAGAGATTCAATCCAGAGACTCTGCCCGACTGCGACTAAGTCAACACATTCTCCAGGAACGGTCTTCCCAAGAATATACAAAAGACTATATGTAAATATTGTGTACGCTTTCTTGTTTCAATACATTTTGTTCTAAGTACATTTTGTGTTGTATTATTATTCCATGCATTAGTCAAGTTTCAACAATTTCATAACATATTTCTGTTATAATTTTTAAATTATAACATAATATATATATATATATATATATATATATATATATATATATATATATATATAATCGAAAGTACTAGAAAGTACTACAGATTTTCATCCAATGTAAAACGTTTCGTTCTAAGCCAACAAAAAAGTAACCGTCTTTCATTGTCTGTTACATTCGCCTATTCATGCAAGAAGGAAAACTTATTGCCTGAATATGGTAATAGGAATCGTAATAAAATGTTCTTGGAGTTTTCATTTTAGCCTTAATTGAAAGCTAAAGGATGATGTCTACTATTTCGAGTAAGTAAAATACTCTGTAGTGTATTTCAAACAAAAATTATATCGATTGGAGACTGATTCACTTTTTGGCTAAAAATAGCTGATTAGCGCCCTTTTCTTTTAGTCATCTGTCATCGCAATGTAATTTTATTTCTTTAAATATCTTCCAAAATTAAAATATACTTTTCTGAAACTTTATTTGAGTAACATTAGCTGACTTAAAGTATAATCAATCTGATTTGAAATAAATATTATTTATTTTAATTTGAAAATACCAGAAAGATGTCATTTTAAAACAAACAGTCGCATTGATTAGGTACTTCTCAACGCTCGTAAATCACTTAACAAATGCTTCTGAAGATGATGACAGTTTTATCGTTGTTCTACGAAGACTTTAAAACGTAATGAAAGAAAATGACGAGTGAACTTTTTTTTATATATAATTCTTAAGTACTCAGTAATCTTAAAAATGTTGGAAATGTTCGTAATCTAACTTTAGGAATGTTGACTTTAAATCTACCATATTCATTGATCTTATTTTCTGATAATGTCGTGTATGCTCACTCATGCTTTCAAACGGGCACGTTAATACACATAAAATATTTAATTATCTTAAAAATTTGTGTGTGATTTGTATTAAGCTTTTCAATTTTCGCTTAGCAAATATATTCACTGAATAACCTAACGAGGCCAAAGTTTTGGAGAATTTTTTGAAAATTATTAAAATTAAAAAAAAAGAAATGAAAACATTTTTTTCTTCAGCCTATAATGTCCTTAATATATATTATTTATAAAAGCAATTATTGAAGTTTTTATTTTACAATTCGGAGCAGATTTTCGGGAAAGCAATAACTGTTTGAAAAAAATAGATGATTTACATTAAGGAGTCCTGCGTTAACTAATCAAAGTTTGAGGTCAGAATTTAATTTCTAGACATTTCATGAAATTAAATAAGTGGGTGGTAACAGATGTAAAAATATTTTCACCAAGATTTTCTAAAGGTAATAATTTGAAAAATATATCCATTCATTTGTGAATATGTTCTGAAAGTTTCATTGCAATTCGACAATTATTTGATTTTTGCAAGAATTTAAAAATTAATGTGTTATTTTGTGGTGATTACGAAATAAAAAATAACTCTCTTTTCCCCACTGTTTTCAAATTCGCGAGCCTATGCGAAAATTTATTTTGACCAATAGGAAAAGGGACTGGCTGAAGATAAGTCCAAGGCAAAGTTTAACGAGCCTATATGAAAAAGTAGAAAAAGGAGAGGCTTACAAACTGAAAAAAAGTAACGAGCCGTTGTGAAATTGCTTTTTGATATGAATAGGTATAGAAAGTTGAATCAAGAGGGGGGATAGAAAAAGCAGAAAGAAGTAGGAGAAAGAAAACCAGAGTTCCACGCGTCTGAATAATTGCGGTGTCAAATTACACGCTGATACATTATCAGCCTCTAATGAAGGCAGGACAATTTCAAATAACTCCATTCAACTCCAATGCTCAGTACCTTAAAATATAACTTTTCATTCATGTTGAATATAAGCGTATAAATTTTATATGAAAAAGGAACACTCTCAATTTGTTTTAAACATTTTGGAATATTACTTTGAGCCTGATGATTTAAAATGAACATTTTCTCTTCTAGAGAATTCATCGAAACTACGAAATATTTTATTCATTTTCCTGAATGAAGCTTCTGACAACTTCAAATATGTAAATTTGTAAATAAATTCCTTAGTTTACTTCATTACATAAAACACGTGCGTTTCCTCGTCATTATCCCCCAATACTTCAAATAATTTACGGGAAAAAACGCGCTACCATTTCCATAGTCTGCTCTGTTACTCAGTTGACGCATAAAAAAACAAGATTGTTAACTAAAATTTCGAACGTGTTTGAAAGTAGCAAAAGAATTACAAAAATAATCTTAAAAATATTTGGTTTTTCTTCTTAATAATCGCAAACATTTTGACGATAAAACTTTGTTTTCATTAAATTTGGGGGCTTTCTTCAAAATGCTATGCTGTTTTTTTTTTAGCGGAAAAGTGGAAGTACCTACTTAAAATCATACCAAGGTTTAAACCAGTACTTATGAGTGAAAATGTGTAGACGATTCTGTTCGGGTGCTGTCGATGCCTGTGCAAACACGATTTCATAGGTTTGAGCTTGCTTACCCTGTTCGACTACTGATACGTTCAGATTGCGCACTCTCTTACAGAATCTTTATGTCCTCTCGACATAGGTTCAGAATAAATTAAATATGCCTGTGAAGGTGCGTGAAAATGGATCAGCGCCCAACGTTAACAGACGCGCAATCTTTGAACAAATAACCAACCATAATATATTATTTTAATAAATGAGACCACAGCAAGCCGGCTAGGACGCCGAGATACAAATATACGATGCCCATTATACTCATCATGGATATCCAATCGGATAAAGGTATGCAAGCCAAATGTGCGCGATGTGGTTACAGAGCTTCACTTTCTCAGTTAGAAAAAAACCTTTAGATAACCCAGCCCCGCTCTGACAATCATCGAGATAATAATTATTATTATTTTAAATCCTCTTCTGCTGCTGGATTTTTAAGCCAGGGAAAGATAGTCATATCTTAATTCCAGACCACAGCTTCCTTAGAACTTGAAATGTTTCAAAAAGCACTACCACCTGAGCAAGACAGTGATATCAGTTATTCCAAAAGCGTCTTGTGAGGCAAAGTGATTCTTCGAGACACTGCAACAACCACAAACGGGATAATTTATGCTGATGTTTGGCGCATTTGTCTGGTTTGGCCTGCCAGGGTTATGGGATTCCACTCTTATCTATCTTCACAATGGTCTATCAAGTTCAATTTATGCCTGCTTTTGCGCACAAGTGGTTCTTTTTTTTTTTTTTTTTTTTTTTTTTAAGCGTTTCACCCCAAGCAAGGCGGGAAGCCACAAGGACGCAAGGGGTTACAGAAAATAGCAAGATCAGATAGGAGTGATAGAAGAAAGGATGAGGGTAGTGGATAGATTAAGGCAACTGGAGATGTCGATTGACATTACACTTGAATAGCTGGAGATTATAGCTCGCAGGGAAACAGGAGAAGGGAAGGGAGTTCCACAGGCGAGAGGTGCGAGACATGAAGCTATTAGAGTAGAAGAGACGGCTACATTTAGGAGTTTCGACAGTGAGGGGGTGAGAGCGGGATGCCAGCCTCGTAGGGTGCTGGAACTCATGACGTCTGGGAACCAGCGAATGCAGCTCCTCGGAGCAATTTCCATGAAAGTATTTGTAGAACAGACAGAGGGAGGCGACGGCGCGTCTGTGAGAAAGTGACTGTAGACGTGACGCCAGGGCAGGGCCAACCATATTGCATATCCGCCTCTGGAGCCTATCAAGAACCCCGAGGCAAACAGAAGGGGCGCCAGACCATATATGGCAGTAATACTCCATGCAAGGGCGAATTGTGGATTTGTATATCTGGAGGATCGACTCAGGGGAGAAAAACTTCCTAGCGCGGCTCAGGGAGCCAACTTTCCTCGCAGAGGACGAGGCAATTGACAGTTTGTCAGGTGATTGCTTTCTAACCGCTTATTAGTAAGGACGTCCGGATCCTACACGATCTTTAATATCTCACTTTCGACTACTAACTGTGTCTTTAATGCTTGTACCACTTCTCTCCGCACCCCTTTGAAGCTATGCATCTTGGATAATTATTTGTGTACTCATCTTCATCATGATGTTGTCTGTACTCGATTTGTGCCAGATGAATGGACACTTTCGGGAGTTTTCTTATACAGCTGTACAGGACATCCTTTCAGTTTCGTTTTTCATAAACCCGTTAATTCTAGGATTCTGAACTAGTCACCCCTTAGGCTTCCTGGGCAAACGCCATGAGAGGAGTTTTTTTTTTTCTTTCATGACTCGGCTTTCTCATCATAGAGTAGCTTCCGGCAACCCGCCAACATTTCTGGCTCTAGACTTCATTTGTCGGATACAAGTTCTATTGCACAGCATCTAAAAAAAAACAACCTATTTATCTTCACAATACAGGAAAATACTTGTTGTCAAAACCAATATACTAGACCATGAAAATCATAAAGAACATTTATAACAAATGTAGCAGAAATGTGTTGAAATACATGTAGTAAACATTTTCCATGCTATCATTTTCCGATCAGCTTGGGAGGCTTGTTTCGCAAAAAGTTCCATAGCTACAACGGATAAATTAAAAATTTTCGAAGAATTCTAACAAAACACGTGTATTTTAAAAATCACCATCACAATGAAATATAGATTTTATCACAGCTACAATAAATTTGCCTTTGTAATTTACCCCTGAGGATGATCTTGGAAGAGATCAAAAGTATTTGGAACAAACTACGTTGCCTTCCTTGCCGAAGTTCTTCTTAACATCAATAAACTGATTAGAAAATTGGAAAGAATCAGTATAAAAATAAATAAACATAATATGTGTATATTATTCAATGAAACATGTTTTAATATATATATATATGTGTGTGTGTGTGTGTGTGTGTGCGTGTGTGTGTGTGTGTGTCTGCAGACATTCAGAAATAAATGAAATTGAGAATATAAATTAATATAAGAGAATATAAGTTAATAATTATTAATAATGACAAAAAGATTTTTTTTACCAACGCATTTCGTCTTCTGATACAGTTTACCTTAAGAATATTTTCGAGCGTTCTTAAATTTAACATTTTTTGTAAAACTAACGACATTTTGTTTATAAATACATATTGAAAAATAAAATCTTTAGATTAAGCTTGATAAAGTTCACCAAAGGACAAAACGCATTAGTAAGGAAATATTTTCTCTTTTCATCATATATATATATATATATATATATATATATATATAAAGTGAACATTGAAATCAACACTGAGAGGCGATAACCTGTTTCAAGCTATACGCAATCGATTGCATCTAGCATGAAACAGGCTGTCGCCTCTGAGTGTTGACTTCAGTGTTCACTTTTATATTTACATACGCTCTATCTCTGATATCGTGCACTTCATCCCATAAATATAGCAGACCTTAAAATTATATTTCCTTTTATATATATATATGTGTGTGTGTGCGTGCGTGCCTGTAGGCTGCATAATAGAATCCGAAACAAAATGACCATAATGAGACAAAGTAGAAATGTTATCAATGATGTGTTTCGACGAATGTATCTTCTCCCTCCTGCTTTTTTTTTTTTTGGTTAAAATGAAAAAAAGACAAAACTGTATGTAAGAAAAAATGCATTGGGATCTGCGAGGGAAAGTGAAAACCATAAATCAAATTATATATATATATATATATATATATATAATTGCAAATAAAAAACTACAGTCCTTTACTTACTACTACTATATTTTCAAGAAAGTTGGGAACCACATACCAACAAAATGCTTTCGTAAATGAAAAAGTATTGATTTGCTTTTATTTGGAATTCTATTTTCGGTCTGCTTTTTAATCTTTATCCTTGTTGTTAACGGAGGTTCAGTTTTCAGGCAGTATTTATACATATTTCTAAATATTTATTACCATTTGCATCAATGAATTTATATCTCTCACTCCCTCTCTCTCTCTCTCTCTCTATCTCTTTCTATCTATCTATCTACCTATATATATATATATATATATATATATATTGAACAATAAAAAATATTAAAAAATTAAAATCTTCAGACAACACTGTAGATTAATATTCTTTCGTTTATATTATTATTATTTCATTTAGATTATTCGACTACTAATCTAGTTTCGGCCAACATGCTCATCTGAAATATCTCTGCTTGCAGGTAGCAGTGAACTACAGAAATGAATGAATATATATATATATATATATATATATATATATATATATATATATATATATATATATATATACAAACACATATGAAGGATTAATGAGTAAAATTTTTCACTTAGATGATTGATGTTACCTTAAGCATTCCGACTCTAGAGATTCGTAAATCGATCTGTCCCTCCACTGTTCAGAATTCGCTTCGTCTTCTGATGGATATTATTTGCCTTGATAGAATCCATCAGAGGACGAAACGTGTCAGCTAAGATAAGTTTTCCTTTTGTCTTTATTCATACTGTCCTTTCACAGATATATTTTAGTTATATTTGAAAGTTTACAAACATATCTATTTATCAATCTCTCTCTCCTCTCTCTCTCTCTCTCTCTCTCTCTCTCTCTATATATATATATATATATATATATATATATATATATATATATATATAAAAGTGATTACTGAGGTCAACACCGAGCGGTGACAGTCTGTTTCATGCTAGAACGAAATCTGGATGGTCTGAAGATTGCGTTAAAGCCTCAGCGTCGACTTTTATATTTATATACGCTCTATCCCAAATATTGAACACTTTTACCCATAAATATAGCATACCTTAAAATATATATGTGTGTGTACATATATGTGTGTGTACATTTTTGTGTACATATGTTTGTGTACATATGTGTGTGTGTTGTTCTTAATCAGTCTAAACTACCCGAGTTGTAGTGGATGACAGGCCTTTTAAGATCTAAATCCCTCTATTTGGAAAAAGCCTTTTTAAATTCCTCCCTTTGAATTAAGTAACACTAAACTAATTGTAATATATCATTACACAACTAATACTTTAAAAAATCTCCTTATTCGTTCAAAGACACGAATTTACTTGAAATCTCTACAATATGCCGTGCAGAAAACTGGATGTCGACTCACTTTTTCTAAAACCTTATTTTAATTCTCCACGTATTTCGTTTTTTTTTTTTTATAAAAGAACACCCACCACGATATAGTTTCTTATCTCTCCACTTGTGCCTTCAATGCACTTGAGCTCTGGTCTTCTTCTCCGATAAGGGCTCTCTGTTCTCATGTCTCGTCTTTCTTTGCCCTTCACCCAAATAATTCCTGAGTAAAGAGGCGGAGTACTTTACGAGAGAAAGAGAGAGAGAGAGAGAGACGGAGAGAGTGATGTCTATATCGTTACTCCACGTCTCTGCTTTCCACTGGTGGCTGGCAAATATTTCTCGTTGACGTCGGCCAGTCATCGCTATTCACACCGTACAATAAACACTTGGACAATGACAAATTGGATCCGTCGTCAGAGCTGTGTCGGCCACCACAGGAACTGAACCTATGCTGACACGCAACGGTCGAACGTGAGGGGGGGAGAGGGGGTTAACACACCCACAATGGCTGGTTCAAGAGAAAGCAAGTTATTATTTTTTCTTTCTTTCAGTATCTTTTATGTTCACTTCCTCTTCTCTATCATTCTTTACATTGTCTTCTTTTATACAAGGCCAAAGAGCCTCTCAAGATGTGGCGTTGTATGTGCGTAAGAATGGGCAAGAAGTGAAGTTCTTGGGGCGATGAAGGAAAAATAACGGCTAATTTTAAATTTGAAGAGGTCAATATTTAGTGAATAATAATTCAGAGTTCAGTCGGAGACGGTAGAAATCTAGAGCGGAAGTAGACTTTAGAAGGAAACGGAAACCCAATCGTAAAGAGGAAACAAGAGATAAATCTCTACTCCTGTTCGAAAGAATGGAGAGGAGTGTGAACCGAACGATAGGCAAACCTATCTACTCCTATTGCAAAGAAAAGGAAATAAATAGTAGATAAAATTTCAGAATTTTCGGCGGAGATGTTAGAAGTATGGCGTTGCAGTAGACGTTAGAAGGAGCTAGGAACCCAATTCTAAAAAGGAATTTAAGGATAAAACTGGAGGAGTGTAAACCCGACGATAGGTAATTCTATTTACGCCTATTGCAAAAAAAAAACTAAAAATTCAGAATATTAGGCGGAGACGTTAGAAGTATAGAGGTGAACTAGACTTTAGAAGGAACTGGAAACCCAATCCGAAACAGGAAACAAGAGATAAACCTCTACTCCTGTTCAAAAAACCAGGGAGGGATGTGAAGCGGATGTTTTCACATTTTCTTTCTCTTCTCTCCTTGTGTGTGTGTCGATTCCTTCAATCGCATTTTTATTCGAAAAGAAAAAAAATATTTTTCTGAGTACTGTGTGCCTACATGACGTTCAGAGATCATGACTTGCTACAGCTTCCTTTGTATCTGTTGTGATGAGATAACCCAACTTCCCCATTCACGATAATGGACGTTCTGGTGGCCGATAAAGTACGACCACAGTAAACAGTAGAGAGACAAAAAAGAAGGTCTTCGTTACTAACACCATTGCGGTTAGCTTACTCCTATGCTGTCTCTGTATTTTGACATACCTACATCCGATTATAAAATTATTATTGAAAATCACACTCGGGTTTACTTTGTTTATTATATCTTGTACGAGATATAACAGTATCTCTAAGAAATGTTGGTGCGGTTACTATCCCTAACCGACCCTCTACTGCCATTCATTTATAGAACCCCTTAGGCACGCTGCTTAATGCTTCATGTACATTTCATGACATTCTCAGCATCCTTCTGTAGAGCAATATTTCTCTTGCCTCGAGCCATCTCTTCATCTGCCAGTAGATTGTCCAGCATTCCCTACTATATAGGTGAAAAAAAATTACGTAGCAGTTTAGCTCATGTTCCTTTGTTTCTAATGACATTCTCCTTTTACTTAATACTTTGCTTAGCTTTTGGAAGGCATCTTTCGATATTCCAACTGGCCTTCGGATTTCAGTATCCCGTTTTCCATCATCTGCTAAAACACTTCCCAGGTATTTAAACATCTTTACATGGAAGAACTTTTGCCGATCAAAAAAAGGCTCAATAGTGCCTTTGAGCAAAATCCTTCTCATCATAAACTATCGAAATGTTCATATCTTCTCAGTTTCGTATCCAAACTTAAACAAAGTAATTTCTAAAGAATCAATGGATTTTTTATTTATTAATCCGAAAGATTTTATCACATTAAACGTTATTTTAGTGGATACTCGTATTTGAATAGACGTCCCGTTTATTTATTAAACAGTATATTTATTTTCGTCTACCATACTAAATAATCGAGAAGTCTTATTAAAGAAAAAATATACGCTTTCTGGGAGGATTCGAACCTGCGTTCACCTGGGCAGGGGAAACCGTCATTAGATCCGACGTGCTTTAGACTGTCTCGGACATGAAGTGCTTCGACGGACAAGCAAAGTTTAATAGTGCCTTACAAATCTTAAACACTATAATTATTTTCGTCTACCGGTCTGAATATTAGAGAAATCTTATTACATAAAAATATGCGCTTTCCGGCTGTATTCGAAAATGCTTCCCCCTATTTCTTTAATAAGATTTCTCGAATAATCAGGCCGGTAGACGAAAATAAATAAATATAATAAATATACTGTTTAATAAATAATTGCAGATTCTACTCAAATTCAGGTATCCACAAAAATAATGTTTCAAGTGATTACTTCTTTAAAAGTAACTATGTTTGGATATGAAACTGAGCAGATATGAACATTTCGGACACTATGACGAGAAGGGTTTCGCTTAAAGGCACTATTCAATCGTGTTTTTGTCAGCAAAGTTCTTTTTAGGTAAGTCGGCTAAAGCACGTCAGCCCTAATGATGGTTCTTTCTGTTCAGGTGGGGCGTAGGTTAGAATCCTGCCGAAGAGCGTACACTTGAGTGATTTTGACTAGGATCAAAAAGGGGAAAATAGAATTAATAATATCAAATATTTGTATAGTTGGAATTTGGGTAAAGATAAATTCTAATTCAAATTTTAACCATAAATTTAAAGTAATTCAATTCATGAGAAAAAGAATAATTCGTCTCTGCTACTCGGAGATAATGGGTCATAATTAGACTTTTTGGTATAATTGCTTTTTTAAACGACAAATTACCACATAATTAAATCCAAATAAACATTTCAGATACCTAATACTAACTTAATAACAGTACCACGATGTCACAAACTCATTCATGACACTTGCCAAATATATAACAATTTGGCATTCTCATAACCCCGTTCTTTCGGCTTTTCTCCTTCCCTTACCTTTCAACAAGGTCAGGAGTATAGGCGGTTTAGTGTGGATTAGAAAATGCCCAATAACCAACAACTACCCTGAAGAACATCCAAGACGACCTGGACACATAAAAGGCATAAATTATCAGATACACTACCTAATAATTAGTAAGAGGCTACTGCCCATTTCTAGGGATATCTTATCTAGTTCTAATTTTTAGTACTCGGCAATTATTGATCGCCCTCTTTTCACTAAGATCAAGTACACAGAGCCCGGGCCATGAATTGAACTCACAATTGTCACCAAACTTACTGAAGACAGGGAAGATTTAAGGCAACAGGTTCTCCACAAAGAATTGTCCCATGAAACAATAGCCTTGTGGATTAAAGAGTTGAGTCAGAGAGAAAAAGATGAAAAAGAAACAAGAAAGAAAGAGAAAAAAAAATGAAAGTAAAGGAAACAACAGAAAAGGAGAAAAAGAAAACAAAATTGAAAGAATAAGAAAAAAAACATAGAAGGTAAAGAACAAGTTTCAAAGAAAAGAACCAAGAGAGAAGGAGAAAAAGAGACAACAGAGAAGAAAAAACATAACATTGAAAGAAAAAGAAACAAGAGAGAAGATGAAAAAGATTACGAGCATGAAAGAAAACAAAACAAGATAGAAGGAGAGAAAAAAAGAAAGCAAGATTTACAGAAAAAGAAACAAGAGAAAAGGAAAAAAGAAAGCAAGATTAAAAGAAAAAGACACAAGAAAGAAAGAAAAAATAAGATAGAAAGAAGAAGAAATAAGATAGAAGGAGAAAAAGAAAACAATTTTGAAAGAAAAAGAAACAAAAGAGAAGGACAAAAAGAAAACAAGATTGAAAGAAAAAGAAACAAGAGAGAAGGAGAAATCAACAAGATTTAAATGAAAAGTAACAAGAGAGAAGGAGAAAAGAGAAAACTAGATTGAAATATCAAGAGACGAGAGTAGTAGAAAACAATATTGACAATAAATAACTGAGAAGGAGAAAAAGCATACAAGTCTGAAAGAAAAAGAAACAACGGAGAAGGAGAAAAACAAGATGTAAAGTAATAGAAACAAGAGAGGAGGAAAAAAGAAAACGAAATTGAAAGAAAAAGAAACAAAAGAGAAGGACAAAAAGAAAACAAGATTTAAACGAAAAGAAACAAGAGAGAAGGAGAAAAAAACAAGATTTAAATGAAAAGAAACAAGAGAGAAGGAGTAAAAGAAAACAAGATTAAATGAAAAAGAAACAAGAGAGAAGAAAAAAAAAGTTGAAAGAAAAACAAGCAATAGCTAAGGAAAAACTAAATAACATTGAAAGAAAAAGAAAGAAGAAAAAAGTTTGAAAAAATAAGAATCAAGACAGAAGCATAAAAAGAAAACAAATTCAAAAAAGAAACAATAGAAAAATCACGTGGTAGAGATAAACACTTAGTTGTGGAGCAAGCTAAGTGAACAATAATCCAACCTTTAGAAAGAGAGCTATTTATGTTGCCATAGAGCATCTCATTGTGCTAAAGTGGGATAGTCCATTGCTTGGGCTGTGATTGGCTGCTGGTACCTGGTGGAGGTATTTCTATATAAATACCAGCTTGATTCAGCTGTTAGTTTGCAGGGTTTGTATTAAGTTACAACCTGCTTTATTTTTCTCTGCCAGCTGGACGCTAGCTGGGACCTTTACACCGGTAAGTGCTGTTTATTATTGTTATTCTACATCTCCTTCCCCCCATCGCGTGTGGGTAGTGGCCTTTGGGGAGGGATGAGTTCCTTTAAACCTGGCTGGTTGTGTGGAAGTAGTCTGGACAATGCCCGAGGGGTTTTGTCCGTGTTATTGTAGACGACTGAGCAGTGTGTTCAGCGTCGAATGTTTGTGGCACTGGTGTAGGGGTCTCAGGTAAGGCACTAGGTCTTGGAACTAGAATTGTGGGGTGTATCCAGTTTCCTGAGGAATCGGCGATTTCGTAAGGTAATTCTACCTGATCCATCAACTCTGATACGGTATTGGTGGTTGGGGAGGGTTTCAATGACCTGACCTGTTGTGTCCCATCGGCGGGTTGTTGTTCGTTTTAGTGCCACTATTTGTCCTTTTTGAAGGGGGTTTAAGGTGTGTGCTGTTCTGTTGTATCGCTCTATGAGACGAGCGTTCCGCCAGGACAGACTTATCTCGCGATTTTGGGATGCGGTTATCCAATTCGCATGTGGCTTATAGAGTGTGGGGTGGGATGGTATATAGTCACGTAGTCGGCGGTGGAGTAGTAGTTGAGCAGGGGTTAGCCCAATGTTTTGAATGGGCGTATTCCTCTATCAAGATAGAAGGGAAAAAGAAAACAAGTTTGAAAGAAGAAGAAACAAGAGAGAAGTAAAAAAGAAAATAACATTGAAAGAAAAAGAAAGAAGAGAGAAAGAAAAAAGAAACAGAGTAGGCGAAAAAAGACAAAAAGATTGAAAGAGGAAGAAACAATAGAAAAGGAAAAATAAGGAGAAAAAAGATTCAAAGAAACAAAAACAAGAGAGAAGTCGAAAAAAGAAAACTAGTTTCAGATAATAAAAAAATGTAACGAAAAAAGCAATATGCTTAAGGGAAAACAGTATTAAGGAAAAACACACGAATTAAAGAAAAATCGACAGATTAAAAATCAAAAACAAAATCATAGATCGAACAAAAAGTGTGTCAAATTTTCCGAGCCTTATTTCCTCATTCTATGTCCTAGGAATTTCGGATCCTAAACACAATTTTCGTTTTCGTTCGCATTTTCATAAAACATATCTTCGTTGGTTGTCCGTCTTATTCTCAACATGCTTCTGTAGAAACACATCTCTGTTGTCTCAAGTTTATTCTTCATCTATGAGATAATTGTTCACCATTCCTATGAAAACTCTTTTCTTTGTTTCTAATAAATATTGTTCTTTCTTAATACTTAGTACTTAGCTTTCGGAAGGCATCTTTCGCTATTCCAATTTACCGACGATAGTTGATATCATCAGTAACTGCAGAGCTAAAAAGTCTAACGCTTAAACTAGAAAAAACAAAAAGTTCAACAGTAGCGAATTATTTCATTACAAAAATTAAATATTATTGGAATGGATAAAAAGTCACCGTAAACATAGAAGAAAACTATAAAATATTTGGAATAAATTTCCACAGAGATGCTTCGGACTTAAAAAAAAATATGCAAAATGTCTCCTACTATATGTTGAACCCGAAACTTAATTAAAACACAAGAGGAACATTTTACTTGAAAGAACATCTTTGTTACTTACAAAGGAAGAATTGTTCACGCAAAAAAATATTGATATGCTGCAATGAAATTAGTGAATTACTGAGGAATTTTTGTTTCGTTTCATGTATTGTCATTGCAATGAGAAATTCAAGTATGACAGGCCCCACGAGACAAACTGAAAAGTGGCATGGGCATTGAACAAGGGACAAATAAAACATGAGCAAAAGAAGTAGGAATATGTCTACATATTTTTCTGAAAAAGACATATAATATCACACAGCCAAGAAACAGAGGGGAATGAAGTACGATTTTATTATTAAATTAAAACTTCTAATTCATTAAGTTCATTGCTTATCTATCTATCTCATCAAATTTATATATATATATATATATATATATATATATATATATATATATATATATATAAAGCTCAAACACTAATATTCTTACTCTGTCCTGGACATTGAGTTCTACCGGGATTCTATCCTCTTGGGAATTTATATATAAATATAAATATGCACACACACACACACACACACACACACACACACACGCACACGCACACACACTTATATATATATATATATATATATATATATATATATATATATATTGAGCACTAATATTATCTATCTGTCATTCCCTCCCTCCCCCTCTCTCCCTTCTCTCTCTCTCTCTATATATATATGTGTGTATGTGTGTGTGTGTCTGTGTTTTCATATCTATCTATCTATCTATCTATCTATCTATCTATCTATCTATCTAAGTATGCTCAAAGCTATGTATCTATCCCAGTCTGTTCATATCTATCTATCTCTCTATTTCGTTCTCTCCCTGTTTCTCTCTACACACACACACACACGCACGCACGCACACACACACACACACACACGCACGCACACATATATATATATATATATATCTGGACCTCCTCAGATAATTTTGAGTATGAAAGTATAGAAATTTTAAATTACTTCTAACTCACTCATGTCTTCTCTCTCCCCCCTCACTTCCTCACATTGTTAATTTACATATGTTTAATACGACCCGTCAAAAATGTGTAAATTTCTTTTCATTTTTTGTTTCAACCTTTGGAAGTAACGTCTGATGATCTGCAGTCCTTTAAAAGGCTGTGGTGAAATAATTTATTACATGGAACATTAAAGTGGTCTGTTTTTATTTAAATTATTTGCTCTGGATTTACATTGAGCTCTCTGGATTTTATCCTCCTTAGGTTTACCCATACGGATTACCTAGTTTTTCATGAACTATATATATATATATATATATATATACAGACCAATTATATATATATATATATATGTGTGTGTGTGTGTATACACACACAGCAATATAATACAGCCCGAAAATAAGCAAAACTACAAATTCTCGGGGCCATGTAAATTTCGTAGAAAATATGCGTGAGTACGTCATGTCTAATGACGGCTTCCATATAGAAATACAGGTTCGATTCTTGTCGGTGAACGCATATTTTCTACGAACTTTTCTAATGTTCTGGCCGGTAAATGTAATTAATACTGTTTCGTTAATGCAGAATTAACGTATATATATAAACAGAATATGAATATATATATATATATATATATATATATATATATATATATATATATAAAACAGAATATGAATATATATATATATATATATATATATATATATATATATATAAGGGCGTGAAAATCAAGGCCTCAAACATCAACGGCACTACACACACACACACACACACACACACACATATATATATATCACCTTACATAAGCTTAATACTGCCCTTCGAATGTGTTAGTTTAAATTCATTTTTTTTTTCATCCTTGGAATGAGGTCTGATGATCCAGAGAAAAGAAAATTTCTGGTGAAATAACTTATAACAATGGAGTAACTTTAAATTATATATATATATATATATATATATATATATATATATATATAATTTAAAGAAAAACTGACCATTTTAAGCTTATATATATATATATATACATATATATTCCAACATGTCCATATATATATATATATATATATATATATATATATATATATATATATATATATATGAAGTGGTGTTTCGCTAGATCAATTACAATTGAATATTGAGTTCGATCCTCACTAGGTGAACCATACTTTCGGCTTTGTGCCACATCTAGAGACAGAGAGATATATGCTTATATTTTATCGGATTTTGTACGTAGGACTCCATATATGTGCTTGTCGAATCGTGTCTATGTGATGCGTTTTTCCTTGTCATAAAAAGGCGCTTCATGTAAAGAGAAACCAAAAGAAAAAAAGATTTCAAAATGCGGAAGTAGTTAATTCAACATTCGACGATTAGCGATGTGACAAAGCACAATTGGGAATATTCCGACTTCTTCATTGCAGCGTGTGAAAAAATTTGAGGTACAGAAGTGCCTCCGGTCGGAAACATATGTAGAGAAGTGCCGAGCAATATTTCCGTTATCTCTCGTGAGTCTCTGAACAAATGAAACTCTGTAAATATACGCATTGTGCAAATATGGGGGTAAAAAAAGAATTAAGAAGAACGTAGTAATAAAAAAGAAAAACAAAATCTAAACACGCAATGACACGAAAGAGAATGAAAATTCTATCCTATTAATAAAGAGAACTAAAAAGAAAAAGTATGGAACCCAGTTAGTTATCAGCATTTTAAGCATTCATTTTTTTTTTAACAATATGGCCTCCCCCATTTAGAAGATTACCGCTACACAGTCTTCCAACACAAGTTTCCCACGATTTGATCTTATACTATTCTAAACCAATATAAGCAAACACCAAAAGAATTACGGTGCCAATAACGACTTTCTAAGCAGACTGATTTACTACATTTGGTAAAATGGCGCTAATCAATCTTCCTGCAAAAGTTTCGCCCAGACTGTTATTAGGACTTCCTAAGCATACTCTAAGTACCGATGTGACATATCAATGCTATTTTCCTTTGTAGTCTTGCCTTATCCATTTGGAAGATTGGCGCTACATAATCTTCCCGTTCCAATTTTCCTTTTAAAACAACAGATGATTAAAGGTCAATAATAATAATAATTATCATTATTGTTATTATTCTTATTGCTTTAAATTAGTCATGTTCATTCATTTCTTTGATGTTTTCCCTCGTGAATGGATCTATAAGAAAAAAACCTGATCGTATATTGCGGAAGCTGCATCAGTTTGAACGTATTTCAACATATTTCCTTAATTTAATATTTCCTTATTTAATAAGGTACTTGCTTTCTCTGCAATGACAGAATTTTGAACAGTTTTAATTGTGGTTGAAATTATTTCAATGTATAACTAATTTTAAATTAATTTGTAGCAGGTGATTTCTATATAAAAAAAATCGCTTCTTTTAATTTCTTGAACTATTCATAAGTCTATCACCCCAACCATCACAGTCCTGCATCAAGATCAGAAGGTCATTGGAAGAATTCTGTGTCATAACATAGCTGGTAAATGTAGGTGGTTGCTGGGCGACCAACTCGTCATGGCTATCATGAGTTCTTGTTTTGCTCACCAGCAATCTCCTACAAAACACATTCTGTGTTTGCGTAAGATTGTAGAAATATAAGGGATGGGTCCATAGAGCTGTGATTTAGTTGGATGTTGTCTCCAAGAGATGTTAATTATAGCTCTCAGCATCCGAGTGTAGGTTCCATCAAGCTTAGACTCTAGGGTTTTAGTTAACATCCAAGCAGTACCTTAAAATGAGAATTTTTTTTTTACTTTTTAAAAGTAAAAGATAACATTTAAGTAACTACAAAACATTTGGTTTTATTTTAACAAAAAATAAAAACTTAACTATAAAAAATATTAAACGACAACATCGTATTTTGTTTTCGGCAATAAAAACGCCATCTCACTTAATTACCGATTTACAAATTCGTGATATTCTTTCCAACAGTTTTGAAAAAAGTAGATGACAGACTAAGCATTCTTCAAGTACTGAAAAAGCTCACTCTCACTCTTTAAGTATTCTCTTCAAATTCTTCTATCCAGTTCATCCCATATTAATTCACCCAAAACACTATAACAGACTCACGACCATGCTTAACTATTGGAACCATACATTCATCATTCAGTAGTTCTCTTGGCGATCTTCTCCCAAATACTCACCTCTTACTAGCAAAAAGTTCAAATTTTGAACTCATCCACATACATTACTGCCACTTCTCAGTATCCAGTTCTTATGTTTTTTGCCCATAACAATCTTTTGTGGTTATTCACCTTCCTTAACAGGGCTTTCTTAATTATGCCCCACCCCACCTTAAGCCCCATTGCCTTAAGGCAATTTTTCACAGTTCAGAACGACTGTGGTTGCAGTTAACTCTGGAGTTGTTTCCCTTCTATTTCTTTTGCTCTCAATAATCAAGTGTTTACCTTCAGCAGTAGTTGTCACTTTTGGCGCACCAGCTCTTTTTCTATCAACATTTGCGCCAGTTTCTAACTGCTTTTGTTACGAACATTGTACACCATATTTAGAAATCTTCAACTTCTTGGCAATTTGTCTTTGTGAGTAGATATCTTTGAATAAAATTTCAATTTGTGGCCTCACCTCAATGCTTAGCTGCCCTGACATTCGAATTTTGTGCAAATTACTTGAAAATTAAAAAAATAAATAAATCTATAAATCAACCATTCGCCCTTGCATAGAATACTGCTGCCATATATGGTCTGGTGCCCCCGATGTTCGTCTTAAGGTCCTCGACAAAGTCCAGAGACGGATATGCAATGGGCTTGGCTCTGATCTGTCCCATCTCTTCACTGTCGAAACAGTTAAATGTAGCCGTTTCTTCTACTCCAATAGCTTCATGTCTCGCACACCACCGTCTGTGGAAATCCCTTCCTATTACTTGTTTTTCTGATAGCTATAATCTCCAACTATTCAAATGTAATGTCAATCGACATCTCCAGATGCATTGACCTATTCCCTGTCTTTCTCTTCACCCTTTCCTTTATTATGCCTCTTTACTCTCGCTCCCACTCTCTGTAACCCTTTGCGTGTTAGTGGCATCCCGCCTTGCTTGGGGTGAAATGCTTTAAAAAAAAATCTCAGAAATTACTTTCAGCGATGCACAATCTTTTTTCTTTCTTCAACTATAGACAACTACATATGTTTTGTTTCCAACATTAAGCAGTGCTGAGTTAAAATTTAGAACCTATATTAACATTTACCTTAATTGAACATTTCCGTATTAAAAAAAATCTACTGAGAGGTTAATGGTGAAAACAAAATATAATGTTT